AAGTTGCACCAGCTAACCACTAGATGTCAGTCTTCATCAGAATAACATCTTTAAATCATTTCTAACCCCGTTGGCGGATTGCTTCGACCAATTACATCAAGCATTGAGCTCCAGCGTTTAAACTTTTTTTTTTAAAAGGAGCTCTGATTGTAAAGCAAAATAAATCAATACATGCAAAAGTTTAGCATGGATTGCAAACGTTTACAGTTTTTGCTGGGACAGGGAGTTCTAAACTTTGCCTTCCTGCTACGTAAGCAGACACAAAGCATTGTGGGAAATCAGTACCGCTGACTCTGTCTCTTGTTCAACAGTAGTTTGACACAAAGAATGAGACAGCTGAAACTCATGTCTTCATACATCAGTGGTGGTTCTTGAAGCTCTGACTCCAGCTGCAGCTCATTCTTTAGAAATATTTGAATGAGTTTTGTTTCACCATCCTCTCCAAGGTGCAGTTATCACTATTACACTTTTTTTTCTACCACATCTTTTCCTTCCCTTCATCTCTCTATTAATGTGTTGGACACAGAGCTCTGTGAACAACCTGCCTCTTTAGCAGTGAGCTTTTGTCTTGTCCTCGTTTTGCAACGAGTCAATGGTCGTCTTTTGGACATCTGTCGAGTCAGCAGTTTTCCGCATGATTATGAAGCCTACAGAACTAGACTGAGACCATTTAAAGGTAGTTGCAGGTGTTTAGAGTTAATTGGTTGGTTAGAGTGTGCCACCAGGGGTCTTCAGTGTTGAACTTTTTTACAATATTCAAATTTTCTGAGATACTGAATTTGGGATTTTTATTGTCAGTTATAATCATCAAAATTAAAAGAAATAAACATTTAAAATATATCAGTCTGTGTGTAATGAATTAATATAATATACAAGTTTCACTTTTTGAATGGAATTACCAAAATAAATCAGCTTTTTCGTGATATTTTAATTTTATAACCAGCACCTGTGTACTGAAAAATCCATACATAAAACAGAAATWAGGGATTGACAGGACTCAAAACTAAACCAATAAAAATCAAATGAGTCAAAGCTGTGACATTGTAGGACCTTTTATGTATTTATGGTTTTTGGTCTTGTGTACACGTTTTTCTGTGTGTGTGTCTGTTTGTGTAGGTATTGTTCTGACAGAGTCTCTGGCCATGACACCTGCTGCCTCGGTCTGTGGACTTTACTTCTCTCATCCCCAGGCTTCATACTTCCCCGTGGGRAAGATTACCAAGGAACAGGTCAGCTAATCATCCATTTACAATCCAACACATTCAGATTCAGTAGATTATAAAGTGCCACTTGTATTTTTATTGTTATTTAGGAAAAACAGCAGATTGTAGTTTTCACTTTGATTCAATCCTAACCTAAGCTAGAAGGAAAAAACCTTTGGTACAACCTGAGGTGTTCCAGAAACTGATCAGAAAACAATGTAAAAACAATAAAACTATGAAGTGAACTGTAGTTTATGAATCATTTATAAACACATTTTGAACTTGGTCATTTGTGCACTTTTATCAGTTGCATAGACGGCACACAATTAAGCCATGTTTACATGAGAGCTTCTCCAAAAATGCTGCTCTCTCAATGTTTACTGGGGCAAAAAATATTTAAAAATCACATGGAAGGAATGTGTCAAGCAGGGTTGCCAWATGGGACATGGTAAACTGTTGTGTCATATACTGTCTGCTGAGTGAGAGTGTTGTAAGGTAAGGTGTGTGTGTTTGTTAAAAAGTGTGCAGAGAAAAAGAGGGGCGTGTTTGTGTTAACCGTGATGCCGTTCTTGTAAAACACTGATCATGTAGCGTCAGCACAATCACAGTGACATCTGAACCAAGTGAATAAATTTACTTTCCTTCAAACCTGAAATGTTCTTCGGTGAGTGACACWAAACACAGTCTGCTACTATATCTGTAATTCATTAGGCCTGAACAACAAAATCGCTGTGAAGGCCTATTTTTACTTTGTTTCTTCTTTTTATTATGACCCCCACACATGAAGCTCCTGCCAAAAGAAGTACCGATTTGGACCCGTAGACATTAGGGCTGCAACGTTACAGAAAATTCACGATTTGGTTCGATACTTTAGTCTCATGGTTCAATATTTTTTTGATACAAAAAAGAGAAATGTCCATGCCCCTTTTAACGTGTAATTTATTTAAATTAATTATGAACATTTGTTTAACCTCAAAAG